TCTCTTGAGTTACTCCATCTTTTTCACTATAGGAGTATGAGTGAGTTCTATCAAGAGCATTCAAATGGTTAGAGATGTTAGTTGAACAAGAATGCACTTCATGAAATGATACATTGTCTTTTAAACTAAAAGAATCATACTCATTGAGGTGCATATTTGATTCCTCAACTTGACATATGCCTTCATAGGTTAATTCAAGTAAGTTCCAAATATCTTTAGCCGTATTACAAAAGACAATTTTATTAAACTCATTTTTACTTAATGCACAATAAAGATAGCATATAGCAAGAGCATTGCAATGAATTAATCTATGCTCATTTTCAGAACATTCCTCTTTTGATTTAGGAAATTCATTTCCTTCAATAACTTTGGCGGGGATATGATCACCATTTTCTATGACATCCCATACATCAATATCAATGCTTTCTAGAAAGACCTTCATTCTAATTTTCCAATAGATATAATCAATTCCATCAAAACAAGGAGGTCTATCAATGTAATGTCCTTCTAAGGAGGTGGATGAACCAATGTTAGACATGATCGTACTCTAAGACGGTTAAGTTTTTTAGATAGAGTTTAGGCTCTGATACCACTTGTTGCCCAAGAATGAACTCTAGGGGGGTGGGGGGGGGGGGGGGGGGGGGGGTGGGGGGTGAATAGAGTCCTTGTCTAATAATGACAGATTTAAAAACTAAGTAGATGAACAAGATACAAATTCTATTTTACAAATATGTGCTAAACAAAATCAACACATTAATGTAGTGCAAGCAGTGGTTGATTTTTAGTTTATACAATTCCAATTTCCAGTAAGTAACTTATAGCAATTGTGCAATAATGTAGATGTGAATGCAGCAATTAAATAGCACAATTATAAGAGAGATAAGGAAGAGAAATTGCAAACATAGACACGGTGATTTTAGCGAGGTTCGGAAACTCCTACTTCTCGGCTCAGGACCCCTCTTGAGACTTCCCAATCCACTATGGCTTCTCCTTACGGGTGGAGAGCAAACCTTGTAGTGAAGCAACTCCCTTGCTTCTTCTTGTTAAGAGACACCCTCTCTTAGACTTCCTTTGGGCCAAACCAGCCCTTACAATAACTTTGCTAAGAGAACTCCTTCTCTTAGGCTTACAATAGATTTGTTGGTAATATAGAAGTGTTACAAATCTCTCTTTCTCTCTGATTTACAGGTTATAGCTTACTCTAGAGAATCAATGAATACAAGTGAAGCTCACTTTCTAAGTGTAATGAATGTGAGAGGATGGAAAACTAAACAACAGCTCTGTATCAATGTGAATATCTCAGAACAAAAGCTCTGAATGATGGTCTGAAAAATGCTCAGTAAATTCGCAGCTTCTCTCTCTCTGTTTTGGCTATGCAAGCTTGTGTAGGAGAATATGATTGATTGTTCAGAACAAGAGCTTTCTCAAGGAGTAATACCAGAACAAAAGTTCTGTAGAATGGTAGAGCAAAAGCTCTATTGGATGCACGAAAATGGCTCTAACAACTTTGTCTTTTGAGGCTCAAGCACACCCATTTGCAAACAACATAACTTAGCATATATAGACATCTTCCTTGGTTAATAGCCATTGTAAACCCTTGACTTAGCTGTTGAAAATCCTTTTCTTGATTAAGACTTGTCACAGCTCATTTAGTAGAGAAGCTTCCCATGACAGAGATTCCTTGTTTGACAGAGGTGTTCAGTGCATAGGGCAGATAAGATTTGAAATCATGTGTATGATCCTTTAATAGATAAAATGGCTGTTGACATCAAGACAAGAGCTAGAAGACACACAATATGTCAGTGAACCCATGTGAGTCAAACTGTAAAAGCATAAAGAGAAGCACGGGTTAAAATATGGAGGATTTCAATGCAGATCTGGTTGACCATCAACTAAGTCGACTTAGTTGAGAACTAAGTTGGCTCAGTTCAAGACTGAGTCGGCTGAGTTGAGAAGGGAGTCGGCTAAGTTGAGAAGGGAGTCGACTGAATTATTAATTTAGTCGGCTGAGTTGCATTTTGATTTTGATGAGCCTCGGCCTAATTGAGTCGGCTGAGTTAAGAAGAGAGTCGGCTGAGTTGCATTTTGATTTTGATGAGCCTTGGCCTAATCCAGTCGGCTGGATTGCTGACTGAGTCGGCTGAGTTGCATTTATACCAAAAAATGAAACTGTTCAGTGCTCTGCAACATGTATCTGCACAGGATTTATATGTCCATTTACTTTAAATTTACAATGTAAATAAGGAAGTACCCCCCATTTGGATTCAATAAAAAATATAAGAAAATTGAAATCCAACTAAATCAAAATGTGAAAATTCAGTTTTAGTGCAAATTTGGATTTTCGACAGTTTTAGTAAAAATGAATCCTTATGTAGACCAATGTAGACTTAGTCAAAAAATCTGATAAAATCAGTTTAGGCTAGTTGAAGTATAAGGAGTAATTACCGGAAAAAATTATCTTGAAAAAATGTTTTCTTCAAAAATTCATTTTTCACACTTAGCCAAAAATACAGTTTTCATGATGCGCATATAAGGCTCCTAAAGTCCTTTACCAAGTCATGGTAATGAAGGCTCCATATGCCTTAATCGTTGACCGATATGAATCATGTGATTGATGTGCATGGTCTTAGCATTTCTAGCACAAGTGATGAGTTCTTTCTAAGTTTATGCAAGCTTGAACTAACTCATTCTTTTAGCAAAGACTTCTTGTGTCAATTATATGAATGAAGTGCATAGTCTATTGCTAATGGATATAGGAGCATATGAATGATGTAATGATATGCATGGTCCTATAAAGATGAGCTTCAAATGGATTCATAAATACTTTGACATTGAATCCTAAACACTCACCAACCTATTTAACCATTTTTTCATGCTTTGTCCATGATCGTATAGGCTTTTAGGTAGACTTGTCTTCTTCCTTTCTTAGAGTTGTTTTCTTGCTCGTTGTAGTCCAAGCTATCTTTCCTTGCGATTTGAAGTCTTCTTTGTATCCTTGTTTTCCATGATGTGATATTGAGTAGTGGAATACTTGGAATGGTCTTTATGATCTTCATTGAGGTTCTTTTTTGAATGTAAATCATTTATAACACTCAATGAAAACATTAGTCTTTAAACACCATTAATGGTTTGTTATCATCAAAACACTTAGATTGTCCTTGGATGGAATCTTTATGGTCAACATAAACTTTATTCAAAGTTTTCTGAAACGACATTAGTAATGACACGTGTCCTAATTCAATTATCATAAGCTGAGGCGGAGAGCAAATTTTCATGGACTTTGGCCTATGATTGAGTCAATAAAAGCTATTGGGCTGCATAATGGTGTTACCTTTTATGTCAAATAGACAGAATCTATTGTTTAGTTCATGGAAATATAGGTAATTTTTTTCTTAATTCAATAGTATTAATTTTATGTCTAATATGTGTCATTTACATGCATTTGTTATAGGTGTTCTGTTTTTATTCAGGGATCGGTAGAGGCCTTTCATGATGTAATGCATGGTATGGACTAATATTTGTGTGTAAAACATTTCTATGACAACTTCCAAGTTGAATTTTAGAGGGTGTTAGTTGAAAAATGATCTACAGGCAGCAACCTGTGCATTTTCAGTGGCTGAGTTTGATATTCAAGTGTAGGAGGGATACATATGAACAGTTGAGTAGGGATTCTTGAGAGATGGATGGACTAGGTCTAAGTTAATTTGTAATTTTGATTTGGTGACAAACTTGCTATTCTTTTAATTGATACATCCTTTGAGCTTAGGAGAAGCCAGTGATCAAACTTTGGTGGATTTGTCACCTTTTGATGATGAAACAGGTGGGCTTGTTGTGTAGATTGATTCGATTGTTTTCCTCATCATTTGATTGTTGTGTGGTACAAAAGGAGAGATATGAGGTAGAATACGAGTGTGACTGGTGCAATTGATTCAGTGCAACATACCTGCAGTTGTGTATGTAGATCCATTCTTCCGCAAATAGACGTATCCCTGCAGTCATTCTCTGTTGTTCAGTTGAGAGGTTAAATTCCCTGCAGCTATTCTCTGTTGTTGAGTTGGTAGCTCTTCAAGCTTTTCTAACTAGCTTTATACTTGCTTTTCTAATCAATATGATGATGCCGTTAACTTTATATATATATCCCTCTTTGTTATCTTTTAAGGAAACATCTTGCACTAATGATAATACAAGGCAAGCTAGAAATTGATTGACCATAATGAGGAAAAGAGATACATATAGTCCAAATAATTTGGCTAAAGGCATTGTAGAGAAAAATATAAATGTTGATTTTCCACCTATTTTTCATTGCTGTTTATTATGGAAACATTTTGAGACTGGAATTAAGTTGGTAGGAGAAAAGCTTATTTTTAATACTTTATTGCTAATTGTTACAGCCTAGTTTATTGATTATTTTGTTTATATTGTTACTTTATCTGTGTTAAAATGTGTACATTTTTATATTTTGTAGTTTATACCTATTATGTCTGTGTTTCGAATATTTACTCTCCTTTTCCTAGTAAAGCATTGTTTTGACATTATTTTAATAATTATTCACATTTGCTTTCTTCCCTCAAATCCATTCAATTTTTTTTTTTTTTTTTGTATTTGTTGTTTTCCTTGCCTTTCTGAGATATTTCTGTCACCAGTCTGACAAATAAATAATCTGAAATAGGAGTATTTTGATCAACTATACGTTTAGGCATGGAGAAAAAAAATTTCATAATCTAACACTCCTTGAATACATATTGGTTCTAAATGTTTCTTGTGTCCCAAATCATTAGGTATAAAAATTTTCATGTCATTGCCAGCATTTCAAGTACTACAGTGGATCCCCATCTCATAGCCAAAGCTATCTTCTTCATTCTTAAAAAAATAATTCAAAAATTGTTCCATTGCTAAATTATCCCAAATCCTAAAAAGAACAAATTTTCAATTAACCTGTATTGTCAAATGCCAAACAATAATAGACTAGAAAAAATAATGAAAGAGAATGACAGAGAATAGAGAAATAGATAAAGTGAAGTTTTTCTCTTCAGCTTTGAACTAATTGCTCCATTAACCATGAGTATGTATAAAGGTAGTTATTAGCATTAGTACACTCGACTGATTTATAAAAGCGAATAACAACTAATTATACTAATGAGCCAATAGCTTGTAGAAAGCATCAGAAACAAAGTACTAGCTAGAATACATACGCTTCTCAATGAAATTGAACCACCTTCTTCGCCAATACGGATTGATAGCCAGAACAGAAGCCAGTGCTAATAAGAACATGATGTATGACACAGAAAAAGTAACATAAAAAGCCTCTGGATCGATGTCATACCAACGGTGGAAATCTTTTGCCTCACTTTCTTCTGAAATTGTTGTTGGTGTGTTTGGAGACTGAACAACGGTGGCACAATTTTTCTCTAATTGTGGTCCACGGAGATAAGGATTTCCCTCGAAGCTGCTCCCATCAAATGTCGAAAATTGGGCCTTCAAGTCAGGAGTTTTACCCGATAAGTTGTTGTAAGCTACAGAGAAGACTGCTAGAGAATACAGATCGGTCAGCTCCATAGGGATCACTCCACTCAAGTTATTGTAAGAAAGGTCCAAGCTCTCTATTTGAGCCAGGCTAGAGAATTTTCTGGGGATGGATCCTTTTAACTGATTGTGAGACAAGTTCAATGCACGAAGCTCAACTAGCTCTCCTAGCTCATGAGGGATTTCACCTGTTAGGTTGTTGCATGACAAATCCAATCCTGACATGTAATTCAGGATATCACCCTTGTAAGAGCTAGGCCTTCTTTTTGTAACAAACTCGGCTTCTGCTAGTAGTGCTGGATCAAATACAGATTCATAGAATGAGAATGTTCTCACTAATAAGAAACTTCCATATGTGGCCGAATTCAACCCACTCGAAGTACCAAAGCCCATTTGAAAAGACCCGTCGTGATTTGGGCCTATCTTTCCAAAAGAGAAGTTACTAATGCAACGAGGTATCGACCCAGAAAAATAGTTGTTGGATAGATCCAAAAGGGATATCTTATTCAACTTGCACAATTGATTTGGAATCAAACCACTCAAATGGTTTCCCCTCAACAGAAGTACTCTTAAGTGGAAGAGTGCGCTAATCCCATTGGGAATATTGCCAGATAAGCTGTTATCGCTAATGTCCAATGTCCTCATAGATGATGAATTGACAAAAGCATTTGGTATTGGTCCTGTGAATTTGTTTGCCTGCAAATAAATATGAGCTGTTGGGTATGAGCAAGAAGGTAATGATCCCGAAAGAGAGTTATGAGAGACATCCAAAACCCAACCTTCAGCTACTTCACATGGTAACCGGCCTTCGAAAGAATTATGAGAGACATCCAAAATCCCATATTCTGTCATATTAAATATCCAGCTAGAAATCATCCCTGAGAAGTAATTGTTGCTAATGTCCAACAGAGTTAGGTGGGAGCTTTTGGAAATTGTGTTGGACAAAATTCCCGAGAACTGGTTGTCATGCAAAGACAGAACCTCGAAGTTGGTCAAGTTGAAGTGTGTTGAGAGTATTTGACCATGAAATTTATTGCTGGATAATTTCAAGACTCTCAAATTGATGCAACCTGAAACCAATTCCTTTGGTACTTCTCCAGAGAACATGTTAACAGACAAATCCAATATCTGTAAGGCACTCATGTTGCAAAGTGATGACGGAAGAATACCTTTGAAAGAATTTGTGGATAAACTTAGATACGAAATGTATGGAAGACTGATTGAAATGTTTTCTTGAAGTTGGCCATCAAAGTAATTGGCGGAGACATCCAGATATTCAAGTCTTGCATTGTTATTAAGCAACCAGTAAGGAAACACTCCTTTCAAGTTGTTGTGGGAGAGATCAACAACTCTTAATTTGTGTTGGTGGAAAAGAAACTCGGGTATTTCACCGGCGAGGTTGCAGTTTGATAACCCTAGGATTTTCAACTGAAACTTGGGAGCCCAATTTGAGTAATGATCAGTTTCCACCCGCAATTTGTTGCTGCCTAATTCAAGAATCTCAAGCTTGGAATGATTGGCTAAGGAGCTTAATGAGAATAAACCCTCAAAATGGTTGAAATTAAGACTGAAGTATTCTAGAGATGTGAGGGTTGATATTATAAAAGAAATGTTTCCAGTGAATTGATTCCAAGAGAGATCTAACAGTCTAAGGGATCTCAAATTGCTCAAACATGGAGGAAGGATTCCTTGGAACGAGTTACCACTAAGATCCAACTCTTGTAAGTTGTTTAATTCACACAAACCTGCAGCAGACAAGAAGAATGAGAGAGAAGTTGGAGTATCATTTTGTCTTGCAGCTAGTGATGTGTAAAAAGAAGATTTGATAGAATAAATAGTGAAGACACCATGCCACTCACTATTTTGTTTCAGTAGTTTTACCTTTAATAGACAAACTGTTGTTGAGATTGTTGTCCGCCAAAGACACAGCCTTGAGCGAAGTCAAGGTCCCCACAAGCGGGGGTATATTTCCAGTGAATATATTACCGCTCAGATCTAGAACCTCCAAGTTCTTGAATGAAATCAAATCTTCAAAATGAAGAATTTAGATAATTTAGTGATGTTTCTGGTAGAATAACTAAATATTTGTCCGTATAGAATGCATACATACCATTGTTGGAAAGGGGCCCTTTCATCCAATTGCCCTTCAGTGATAGAAATTTAAGAACTGGGAGATTAGCCAACCACTTTAGAATGTCTTTGTTGAATCTGTTGTAGCTTAGATCCAGGTGCTCTAACTTGCTCAACTTTGGCAAAGTTTGGTAATCTGGGTACTTAGAGAAGTGGACATGATTAAAAATGATACTATAATTTAAGTTTATCTACCATCATATATATATTAAAAGAAAAAAGAAAAGAAAAAGAAGACAACAGCCTTGAGCGAAGCATGCTAAAAGATATGGGGTAGTTGTGGAGTCGTTTTCTATTTTAATGAAGTAAACGATAAAAGTAGTTCCCTTATCTCAAATTTATTATTCATTAGTAGCGATCAAAGTGGTTCAACATTAATTTAGTGACCATAAAAGTGGTTCAATTTCAACTTAATAGCTCAAGGTTGCTAATGGTATTAGAGATATGGTTAAATATTATAAGTTCACTTCAAAAAATTTTCAATTTCTGATATGAAATCTTATGGTAGCATAAAATTTTCATGGTACTAGGTTCAAAGTAAAAGCACTAGAGATCGAAGAAAGAGGTTTATGGATGAAATCGATTAAGGTTGTCTCAAAGTTTTGATCCAATTTAAAACTTTTTTTTTTTTTTTTGGTCTGCTTTATTACTTTAAGTTTCAATTTAAAATATAAATGTTTTCAGAAAGATCCTAACTAACATCATGAACTCTTAGACTATAATATTTATTTATTTATTTATTTTCTGTAAGGTGGTGATCTAAAATAAACTTTCAAATGGATAATTTTAATTTTTTAAAAAGAAAATAATGCATAAAATGAATGTTTTCTTGAGTGTTTAAATTCTAAAAAGATATTAAAAAGAATTAAATGGAAGATGCAGTATATTGCATATTCTTCCTTACAAGTTAAGTTAAGCTAACAAATCATAATAAAAAATACGTAATTTTTAAGTCGTTCAATTAAAGTAAATTATTTAATTTACAAATTTTGACGGGTCAAATTTATAAAATATAACGAAACGAAACCCAAACTTTTTTATATATTTAATGAACATAACACATCAAAAATAACAGGCGGCCAGTGGATAGACACAACTTTTAGTGGGGCCCACCCTTTATCAACTTGGACCAATCTTGGCAGAAGTGTCAAGCTTCATTATTATTATTTTAATAAATATTGATTTGATATCTTGTAGTGACAAGCCCTGAGCGAAGTCAAGGTCCCTATAAGCGGGGGAATATTTCCAGTGAATATATTAAAGTTCAGATCAAGAACCTTCAAGTTGTTGAATGAAATCAAATCTACCAAATGAAGAATGTAGATAATTCAGTGATGTTTCTGGTAGAATAACCAAATAAAAAATTATCCTTACAATTAATAACTAGAAGGAAGATATTTGTGTAGCGTGCCATTCAGTCTGTATAGAATGCATACGTAGCCATTCTATATTATGAAACCCAACCAATTTCTCATATTTTTCCCTCTTATAACCAAATGGTACAGAAATATTTATCAGAAAGAAAATTTCAACTACACATACCATTATTGGAAAGGGGCCCCTTCAATCCATTGGACTCCAGTGATAGAAATTTAAGAACCGGGAGATTAGCCAACCACTTTAGAATGCCTTTGTTGAAATTGTTGTAACTTAGATCCAGGTGCTCTAACTTGTTCAATTTTGACGAAGTTTGATAATCTGGGTACGTAGAGAAGATGATATAATTAAAAATGATATTATGATTTAAGCTCATCTACCATCATATATATATATATATATATATATATATATATATTAAAATAAAAGAAAAAAGAAAAAAAAAGAAGAAATCACAAGTATGTGACTTAAATTCTACATCCATTGTTGAAGATGGTCTAGAGATTTAATTGTTACCTCTACACTTGCAAACCTCAACTTAACAAGCTATCTTTTTTGATAAAGCTCTTATATACTTCAGTTCAATATACAAGAGAAATAATCATATTAATTACAAACTAAAACAAATTCCGGACTTATAAACGGTCTTGCAACCAAGAAAACTCAGGTTTTATATTAAATTACGAACATAGAACAACTTTAGTTATAGTGATGGTGGTGGTGGTAATAATCTTCACCAGATCCCTACATATTGAATTGCAAAAGAAAATTCTAAATATGTATCTAAGTAGCTTTTACCTTGCACTGGAAGGGGGACATTTAAACTGTTCCCGCTTAGATCCAACTTCTCCAATTTCCTCAGAGCTGATAGCTCTGTACAGTTAAATTAATTGAAACAGAAAGAGTAAAGACAATTGAATAGGAATTATATATATATATAAAGGTATTGAATGTTAGATGCTCAGTATAAATGATGTGAACAAAACATGCCTTTGACAGGAAGAGGTCCTTCCAACATATTCCAACTGACATTTAAAGTTTTCAGTGATGTGAGTGAACCCAAAGGTTCTAGGACACTGTTATTGAAGCCATTAAAAGCAAGGTTTAAGATCTCCAATTTCAACAACCTTTCAAAACCTGCAAATTAAGAGAGAATAATTACTTCAAATGAAATAAATTAATAAATAAATCTCCATGCTTCTGTATAATACTAGTACTATGTAATCACCTACCGTAGTAGCGATGTTTGGAAGCCCAAGTGAAATAACAAAAAAACGGAAAACCTTACAGATTATTTGAAACAGTGGAAGGCTTTGATTTATGATTTAGAAGAAAAGAGAAAAAAATAATTACATAGCAAAGGATTGACATTGTAAGGCTGATCATCAGATTATTGAGAGTGAGATCCACCACTCTACCTGTAGCAAGCAACTCTCTCCCAATCGCAGCATTCACTTTGTAATTATATTTTTTAATATGATTAACTTATAATTAAATTTTACAATTTATTATACTTAGTTTAAACTTTTTTTTTTACGGGAAAAATTCCCTTCTTTTTTATCCAATATTTATGAAATTTTAATAAAGTACTTAAATAAAAAATACCTTTTTTATGTAATATATTCTTGAAAATAATAAGAAATTACTTAAATTGTTTTAAATTTTTTTATTTAAGATTTTTATTTAAACAATTAATACAAAAAATTAAAAGTAAATTCATGCAAATTTAATAAAGAATGAGTATATGTCATCAATATAATATAGTATGAGTTTTTTTCATATCATATTTTATTTTAAAAAGAAAAATAAATTAAGTACAATTAAAAAAGAAATAACGTTACGATTATTTAAAAAAAAAAATAGTCTAAACTTTAGTCAAGGAAATGTTTAGATTACCTTCATTTTCAACAGGGCCATGAAAAAAATTCTCAGATAAATCAAGACTCAGCAGCTCTTCAAAAGGTTTAAACAAGGAGACATTTAAAGAAGGCCACAAGGGCACATCATAAGAAAAGTACTTCCGTATCCCTATATCATGGAGAGTGAGCTCCACCACTCTGCCTGTGGTGTGGTTGCAAGCGACTCTCTCCCAGTCACAGCAATCACTTTCTCTCTCATCAACCCACGAAGGAAGTACCAAATCATGCCTTATCTCATCATCAGTACTGTTCCGAATGAAAGAGGCCTTGAGTTGAAGCAACCCAGTCCTCTCCTCTTCAACACAACCTTCCACTCCATGGTTTTGATTTTCAACCAGTAAAACTATGAAAACCCATAACAACAACAACTTCACAACTTCTGCCCACCCCATTAATTGAGATATATAGAGTGAATATGAGATCAATATAAATAGTACAATTCAGTGACGACCTTCAAAGAGTATATATACACTCTACAATGATCATCCACATTTATAATCCGTTTTTTAGACTTCTTTAGTCAAATATGTAGTTCTTAGTCCTTTGGCAGTCAATGCATTTATGGGTAGCCCCCACACTAAGCATGACAATTGATAATTTGTACATACCGTTGGAAAAGCTAAATAGAATAGACTTCATAAAGGAGGTAGGTGAAAGGGAGGCAACGAAAAGTCTTTCCCTTTCACAAGAAACACTACTGTCGTTCAGTGTATAATTTGGGTGGAACGATATTTATAAACTAATTATAAAATAAATTTAAACAATCATATTAATCATAGACTTTATAATATATTTATTTTGGGAAAAATTCAAAAATAAAAAAAATAAAACCTAAATAACTAAATGAAAAATTGAAAATATAAGGGGTAATGAAAAGGGAAAAAAAAAATATTGTTATCAATTTTTCTCTGCACTTGTTTCAATTTTTCAAAAATTTAATTTTTGAATAAAATTTTTTGAATACTTTGATTCTACTTTTAGAGTTACAGTATTTTGTTTATAATATTAAAGGTAAAGACGCACTACTAAACACATAAAAGTGCAAAAAGGCTTGAGTTAAAGCATTCCAATCATCTTGAAGACAACCTTTGAGTATATTAATTGTAACACCAACCCATTCATTGCAGTGAATATGTGATCAATACAAGTGACCTTCAAAAGTATGACAAGACTAATTTATATTTGTATACGCATGTTCATTTTTTTTTTTTTTTTTTTTTGCTGCTTTATTACTTTAAGTTTCAATTTAAAATATAAATGTTTTCAGAAAGATCCTAACTAACATCATGAACTCTTAGACTATAATTTTTATTTATTTATTTATTTTCTGTAAGGTGGTGATCTAAAAAAAAACTTTCAAATGGATAATTTTAATTTTTAAAAAAGAAAATAATGCATAAAATGAATGTTTTCTTGAGTGTTTAAATTCTAATAAATATTGATTTGATATTTTTTAGTGACACAGCCCTGAGCGAAGTCAAGTTCCCCATATGTGGTGGAATATTAATTGTAACAACAAGCCATTAATTGTATGACAGTATAAAGTACTCTAGTAGACTAATTTATATTTATATAGTCTTTTAGTCTTCTATCAAGTAACGGCCACGCAACCAATTGACAAATGGGCCATAGGCGTATGGAAAAAGGGGCCAAAAGGAAAAGAAAAGACGAGAGGAAGGAAAGGGGGGGAAGAAGGCGAAGCGATGAAAAGTCCTTCCTTCCGTGTACAATGGGATCAACTTTTTTCCACATCTGTCAATCAATCATCCACATTTATAATCAGTTTTTAGACTTATTTAGTCATATATGTAGTTCTTAGTCCTTTCGCAACCAATGCATTTATGGGTCCACACTGTTGAAAAAGTTGCATAATTAATATAGTAGACTTAAAAAAGGAGGGAGATGAATGTGAAGCAACCAAAAGTCTTTCCCTTCCACCAGAAATTAGATTCCGACTCAGTTTCATTACATTTTTAATCCATATTTTAACAGTTGAATTGATCTCATATATATATATATATATATATATATATATATGTATATATATATTTAACACAATTGATCTCATTAACATCCCATTTATATACAACCAGAGGAAAGAAAGTTTTATAAAAAATGTAGGAGGAAAGGAGAAAATAAATATTTTTACTTTTTACAGTGAATATGTATATGTGATCAATATATAATTAAGTTGACCTTCAAAAAAATATATATGATTATTTAGATTTATAATCAATTGTTAGACTTTTAGTCTTCTATATATTTTTTAATCCTTTTTCAATTATAGCCCCCACAACGACCGTAACAATTGACAAATTGATGATAGACGAATGGAAAATGATGAATAATAAAGACAAGAGGGAGGGGGAATGAAAGGGAAATAATAAAAAAGTATTTTCTTCCGTGAATAATTGGATTGGACGGATATTTATAAATCAATTATAAAATAAATTTGTTTATAATATTAATCATAGACTTCATAGTATATTTACTTTGAGAAAAATTAAAAAATGAGAAAAATAAAATCTAAATAAATAAACAAAAAATTGAAAATATAAGGGGGTGAAAAAAAGAAAATAAAAAAATCATTGTTATCAATTTTCCTTCCGTACTAGTTTCAATTTTTCAAAAATTTAATTTTTGAATAAAAGTTTGGAGTACTTTGATTCTACTTTTAGAGTTATTTTGTTTATAATGTTGAAGGTAAAAATGCACTAAACAAATAAAAGTGGAAAAGGCCATGAGTTGAAGCAAACCTTGCATTCCATGGTTTTGGTTTTGGTTTGGTTTTGAACCAAAACTATGAAAACCCATAACAACTTCTTCCCAATTACTGCCCACTCCATTAATTGAAATATATGGTGAAGATGAGAACAATACGAATAGTACTCCAGACTTTCAAAAAGTACACACGCGCGCGCATATATATATATATATATATATATATATATATATAGTAATGATCACCCACATTTATGCTCCGTTTGATCGGATGCAAAATATTTTTTAATTTTTGGTGTTTGGTTTTTGTAAAATATTTTCAAAGAAAAAAAAATATTAAAACTTAACAAAAATAACATACTTATTAATTTTCGGTAAATTATTTTACATATTCTGTCTGATGGACTTGATCTCAATCTCTACTTACACATTTGCCAAAGAACAAAAATAAAGAAAATATTTAACCTAAAAAAAAAAATTATTTTTCAAAAAAAATATTTTACATCGAAATTCGACAAACAAAGTATAATCAGTTACAAAGTATAATCAGTTTGTACACTTTCAATCATCTATATATCTACTTAGACTACTTGTTAATCCTTTCGCCATTGTAGTCACACAGGACCATGACAATTCTTAAATTAGAGATTGAAAAAGAAGGCAGATAAGACATGGCTAATGAAAGATGGAACCCATGAAGGGAGAATGAACCTGAAGCAATGAGAAAAATTCTTTCTTGGGGTAGGCTGATGGTTTGATTATTTAATTATTATTATTATTTTTAACTCGAAAAAAATTGGATATTTTGATTTGTGAGGTAGAATTTGTACAATGTAATAAAATTTGGAAAAAAAAATATAAAATAATAAGGATCCATATTAAGTTGACTACCTCAACTTCAAATGGTTATGTTTTGAATTCACTTTCTCTCTCATCAACTCATAAAGGAAGAGTCTTGTAACTTAACGAAATGTGATCAATAAAAATAGTACAATTCGGTGACCTTGAAAAGGTATACGTGATCTTTATAATCCATTGTTATATTTTTAAGAGTATTTTTGGTTCGTATTTTATTTTTTATATTTTGTTTTAATTTGAAACAAAATAAATATTTTGTTATAGAGTGTTTTGAATAATAATTCAAAACATATTTGGCAATGTCTATTTATTCTAAGATTTTTGGAAGCAAAAAAATAAAAATATGTTTTAAAAAAAATGTTTTAAAATGTAATTTAAGAGTTTTTCAAAAAAATGAAGAAAAAAAATTTATTTGTAAAAATACAAAATTGGTGTTTCAATTTTTGACCACTATTTACAAAACCTTTTAGCACGGTACAAAACAAAAAAAAAAAAATTTACATTTATACCAACTTAAAAATAATTTAGGCAAGAAGCAGGAGAGCAATCCAAGTACTGTTGGGTTTTGCTGAGTCTTTCTTCTTTGGCTCTCTGTTTGGTGTTTCTCTCTCTGTTTGTCATTTTAATGGCAACTAGTGCTCTTCAATTTCATTTTCTTCTTTGGCTCTCTGTTTGGTGTTTCTCTCTCTCTCTCTCTCTCTCTCTCTCTCTCTCTGTTCGAGTCTCTTGAAAGATAAGCTTCAAATGACTGTAAACAACTTGTGTGTGACACAGCTTGGTGTATTTGTTTACGTGAGTGATTGATTTGCTGTAGGTTGTATACTGAGGTTGTAAAAATCGTCACTGTGAGTGTGAAGAGAAGGAAAGGGTGAGGAACCTATAGTGTGTTTCTTTTCAATCATAGTGATTTTTTATGAAGTCTAAAGGCTCTTTGGATGTTTCCTTGTTCCATGTCAATCAATATGTTTTTTTCTTCTGATTCATGACTAGTTGCGAAACAGAACTAAAATTTTGATTAAACCAATTCACCCCCTATTGGGCTCTTCAAATACTTGTGTATCTCCGAACCTTCAAATTGAAAAATGGAGAGGACTTTTGAATTAAAAAACATAATTATTTTGTTATTGTCATATGGTTCAAAACAAAAACAGAAAGCAATTCATCTAAGAACAAAATAGTTATTTTAGTATTAGAAGAGCTTCAAAAAATATTTGCTAAACAAATAAAATAACTCTTCGGACATAAAAAGCTCTTAAAAAGTAATTTTTAAACACTAGTACGCAAGTTAAATAGAAGTTATAACTTCTACTTTATTTTATTTTATTTTATTTTATTTTTTTTAGTTGGCATCAGGAACTCTTCCACGCAGGGCCCCTTAAGGACCCGTCGTGGGCAACAAATCTAAGGGTGTAGGGCAGCCCCCATATACCGAGTGAGTCAACGAAACTAGAAGGCTTAATAGGGGACTCGAACACTGACCTTGTGTATGCCAGGCCCAAGCCCCCACTATCCCCGCCGGGGCCTCATAACTTCCACTTCTCTTTTTCTTTTGCGACAAAAACAAAAGCTATGGCAAATGAGTTCTTGGTTTCAACGCATTTATGGGTAGTCCCACGCTGATCATGACAGTTGATAATTTGTACATAGACGTGTTGAAAAAGATGCATAATAAATAGGGTAGACTTGAGAAAGGAAGGAGATGAAAGGGAAGCAACGGAAAGTCTTTCTCTTGAAACACTACTTTTTTTTTTTTTTTTGTCTTTATTATTATTTTTATTATTTTCATAAGTGAACTGTTTTATGAGAAAAATTATGAATTCTTCCTATTTAATTATTAAATTAAAAATATATTAAATATGGAGTAATTAATTCGACGTTTTACAAATCTTAAAAAATTATTACAATTTAATGATAAAATAGGGAGATTTTATAACCCTTATGATTGAGAGGGTCATTTTTATTAAATAATGTTGTAAAAAATTATATATACTATATTTTGGACCTTAAATATGTATCCGTATATTTATATCATGGTAGTATCATTTGTGATATTGGTCACTGTGTAATAGACTCGACCGAATATCGATATAAACTAATCAAATCGGCGGATTCATGGAGGTTTGCAATGGTATCAGATTATTGAAAAAGAGTTACGAATCGATCAAGAAGCGACTTACCAATTGATTTTAACAAACCGTGATTTATATAGATTCGGACTAAGTTTCATTACATTATTAATCCATATTTCAACAGTTGAATTGATCCTGAACAATTCATTAACGTCCCATTGATATGCAATTAGAGGAAAGTGAGTGGGGAAAGAAAATGAAAACCCCCTCTTTATAAAAAAAATATATATAGGAGGAAAGGAGAAAATAAATATTTTTATTTTTTACAGTGAGTATGTGTTGAATAGAAATAATATAATTCAGTTAACCTTCAAAAAGTATATATGATTAACCAGATTTATAATCAGTTGTTAGATTTTTAGTCTTCTATATACTTTTTGTTCAGTTGAGAGGTCAAATTCCCTGCAGCTATTCTCTGTTGTTGAGTTGGTAGCTCTTCAAGCTTTTCTAACCAGCTTTACACTTGCTTTTCTAATCAATATGATGATGCCGTTAACTTTATATATATATGCCTCTTTGTTATCTTTTAAGGAAACATCTTGCACTAATGATAATACAAGGCAAGCTAGAAATTGATGGACCATAATGAGGAAAAGAGATACATATAGTCCAAATAATTTGGCTAAAGGCATTGTTGAGAAAAATATAAATGTTGATTTTCCACCTATTTTTCATTGCTGTTTATTATGGAAACATTTTGAGACTAGAATTAAGTTGGTAGGAGAAATGCTTATTTTTAATACTTTACTGCTAATTGTTACAGCCTAGTTTATTGATTATTTTGTTTATATTGTTACTTTATCTGTGTTAAAATGTGTACATTTTTATATGTTGTAGTTTATACCTATTATGTCTGTGTTTGGAATATTCACTCTCCTTTTCCTAGTAAAGCATTGTTTTGACATTATTTTAATAATTATTCACATTTGCTTTCTTCCCTCAAATCCATTCAATTTTTTTTTTTTTTTTTTTTTTTGTATTTGTTGTTTTCCTTGCCTTTCTGAGATATTTCTGTCACCAGTCCGACAAATAAATAATCTGAAATAGGAGTATTTTGATCAACTATACATTTAGGCATGGAGAAAAAAAAATTCATAATCTGACACTCTTTGAATACATATTGGTTTTAAATGTTTCTTGTGTCCCAAATCACCGAGGTTTAAAAATTTTCATGTCATTGCCAGCATTTCAAGTACTACAGTTGATCCCCATCTCATAGCTAAAGCTATCTTCTTCATTCTTAAAATATAATTCAAAAATTGTTCCATTACTAAATTATCCCAAATCCTAAAAAGAACAAATTTCAATTAACCTGTTGTGTCAAATGCCAAACAATAATAGACAGGAAAAGATAATGATAAAGAATGACAGAGAATAGAGAAATAGATGAAGTGGAGTTTTTTTTCTTCAGATTTGAACTAAATGCTCCATCAACCATGCGTATGTATAAAGGTAGTTATTAGCATTAGTACACTCGACTGATTTATAAAAGCGAATAACAACTAATTATACTAATGAGCCAATAGCTTGTAGAAAGCATCAGAAACAAAGTAATAGCTAGAATACATACGCTTCTCAATGAAATTGAACCACCTTCTTCGCCAATACGGATTGATAGCCAGAACAGAAGCCAGTGCTAATAAGAACATGATGTATGACACAGAAAAAGTAACATAAAAAGCCTCTGGATCGATTTCATACCATTTTGCCTCACTTTCTTCTGAAATTGTTGTTGGTGTGTTTGGAGACTGAACATTGGTGGTACAATTTTTCTCTAATTGTGGTCCACATAGATAAGGATTTCCCTCGTAGCTGCTCCCATCAAATGTCCCAAATTGGTCCTTCATATCTGGAATTCTACCCGATAAGTTGTTGTGAGCTACAGAAAAGACTTCGAGAAAATTCAGATCAATCAGCTCTGTTGGGATCACTCCACTCAAGGTGTTGTAAGAAAGATCCAAGCTCTCTATTTGAGTCAGGCTAGAGAATGTTCTGGGGATGGATCCTTGTAACTGATTGTGAGACAAGTTCAATGCATGAATCCAAACTAGCTCACCTAGCTCATGAGGGATTTCACCTGTTAGGTTGTTGCATGACAAATCCAATCCTGACATGTAATACAGGATATCACCCTTGTAAGAGCCAGGCCTTCTTTTTGTAACAAACTCGGCTTCTGCTAGTAGTGCTGCATCAATTACATATTCATAGAATGAGAATGTTATCACTAATAAGAAACTTCCATATGTGGGCGAATTCAACCCACTCGAAGTACCAAAGTCCATTTGAAAAGACCCGTCGTGATTTGGGCCTATCTTTCCAAAAGAGAAGTTACTAATGCAACGAGGTATCGACCCAGAAAAATAGTTGTTGGATAGATCCAAAAGGGATATCTTATTCAACTTGCACAATTGATTTGGAATCAAACCACTCAAATGGTTTCCCCTCAACAGAAGTACTCTTAATTCTTTGAAGAGTGCGCTAATTCCATTGGGAATATTGCCAGATAAGCTGTTATTGCTAATATCCAATGTCATCATAGATGATGAATTGACAAAAGCATTTGGTATTGGTCCTGTGAATTTGTTTGCCTGCAAATAAATATGATGTGTTGGGTATGGGTAAGAAGGTATTGATCCCGAAAGAGAGTTATGAGAGACATCCAAAACCCAACCTACAGCTACTTCACATGGTAACCGGCCTTCGAAAGAATTATGAGAGACATCCAAAATCCCATATCCTTCTGTCATATTACTTATCCAGCTAGAAATCATCCCTGAGAAGTAATTGTTGCTAATGTCCAACAGAGTTAGGTGGGAGCTTTTGGAAATTGTGTTGGACAAAATTCCCGAGAACTGGTTGTCATGCAAAGACAGAACCTCGAAGTTGGTCAAGTTGAAGTGTGTTGAGAGTATTTGACCATGAAATTTATTGCTGGATAATTTCAAAACTCTCAAATTGATGCAACCTGAAACCAATTCCTTTGGTACTTCTCCAGAGAACAAGTTAACAGACAAATCCAATATCTGTAAGGCACTCATGTTGCAAAGTGATGACGGAAGAATACCTTTGAAAGAATTTGTGGATAAATTTAGATACGAAATGTATGGAAGCCTGATTGAAATGTTTTCTTGAAGTTGGCCATGAAAGTAATTGGCGGAGACATCCAGATATTCAAGTCTTGCATTGTTATTAAGCAACCAGTAAGGAAACACTCCTTTCAAGTTGTTGTAGGAGAGATCAACAACTCTTAATTTGTGTTGGTGGAAAAGAAACTCGGGTATTTCACCGGTGAGGTTGCAGTTTGATAACCCTAGGACTTTCAACTGAAACTTGGGAGCCCAATTTGAGTAATGATCAGTTTCCACCTGCAATTTGTTGCTGCCTAATTCAAGAATCTCAAGCTTGGAAAGATTGGCTAAGGAGCTGAATGAGAATAAACCCTCAAAATGGTTGAAATTAAGATTGAAGTATTCTAGAGATGTGAGGGTTGATATTATAAAAGAAATGTTTCCAGTGAATTGATTCCAAGAGAGATCTAACAGTCTAAGGGATCTCAAATTGCTCAAACATGGAGGAAGGATTCCTTGGAACGAGTTACCACTAAGATCCAACTCTTGTAAGTTGTTTAATTCACACAAACCTGCAGCAGACAAGAAGAATGAGAGAGAAGTTGGAGTATCATTTTGTCTTGCAGCTAGTGATGTGTAAAAAGAAGATTTGATAGAATAAATAGTGAAGACACCATGCCACTCACTATTTTGTTTCAGTAGTTTTACCTTTAATAGACAAACTGTTGCTGAGATAGTTGTACGCCAAAGACAGAGCCTTGAGAGAAGTCAAGTTCCCCATATGTGGTGGAATATTTCCAGTGAATTGATTCCAAGAGAGATCTAACACTCTAAGGGATCTCAAATTGCTCAAACATTGAGGAAGGATTCCTTCGAAATTATTCCAAGAGAGATCCAACTCTTGTAAGTTGTTTAATTCACACAAACCTGCAGCAGACAAGAAGAATGAGAGAAGTAGTTGGAGTATCATTTTGTCTTGCAGCTAGTGATGTGTAAAAAGAAGATTTGATGAATAAATAGTGAAGACACCATGCCACTCACTATTTTGTTTCAGTAGTTTTACCTTGAATAGACAAACTGTTGTTGAGATGATTCTGCGCCAAAGACAGAGCCTTGAGAGAAGTCAAGTTCCCCATATGTGGTGGAATATTTCCAGTGAATTGATTCCAAGAGAGATCTAACACTCTAAGGGATCTCAAATTGCTCAAACATTGAGGAAGGATTCCTTCGAAATTATTCCAAGAGAGATCCAACTCTTGTAAGTTGTTTAATTCACACAAACCTGCAGCAGACAAGAAGAATGAGAGAAGTAGTTGGAGTATCATTTTGTCTTGCAGCTAGTGATGTGTAAAAAGAAGATTTGATAGAATAAATAGTGAAGACACCATGCCACTCACTATTTTGTTTCAGTAGTTTTACCTTTAATAGACAAACTGTTGTTGAGATTGTTGTCCGCCAAAGACACAGCCTTGAGCGAAGTCAAGGTCCCCATAAGCGGGGGTATATTTCCAGTGAATATATTACCGCTCAGATCTAGAACCTCCAAGTTCTTGAATGAAATCAAATCTTCAAAATGAAGAATTTAGATAATTTAGTGATGTTTCTGGTAGAATAACCAAATATTTGTCCGTATAGAATGCATACATACCATTGTTGGAAAGGGGCCCTTTCATCCAATTGCCCTTCAGTGATAGAAATTTAAGAACTGGGAGATTAGCCAACCACTTTAGAATGTCTTTGTTGAATCTGCTGTAGCTTAGATCCAGATGCTCCAACTTGCTCAACTTTGGCAAAGTTTGGTAATCTGGGTACGTAGAGAAGAGGACACGATTAAAAATGATACTATGATTTAAATTTATCTACCATCATATATATATATATATATATATATATTAAAAGAAAAAAAAAGAAGAAGAAGAAGACAACAGCCTTGAACGAAGCATGCTAAAAGATATGGGGTAGCTGTGGAGTCGTTTTCTATTTTAATGAAGTAAAAGATAAAAGTTGTTCCCTTATCTCAAATTTATTATTCATTAATAGCGATCAAGTGGTTCAACATTAATTTAGTGGCCATAAAAGTGGTTCAGTTTCAACTTAATAGCTCAAGGTTGCTAATGGTATTAGAGATATGGTTAAATATTACAAGTTCACATCAAAAAAATTTCAATTTCTGATATGAAATCTTTTGGTAGCATAAAATTTTCATGGTACTAGGTTAAAAGTAAAAGCACTAGAGATCGAAGAAAGAGGTTTATGGATGAAATCGATTAAGGTTGTCTCAAAGTTTTGATCCAATTTAAAACTTTTTTTTTTTTTTTTTTGGCTGCTTTATTACTTTAAATTTCAATTTAAAATATAAATGTTTTCAGAAAGATCCTAACTAACATCATGAACTCTTAGACTATAATTTTTATTTATTTATTTATTTTCTGTAAGGTGGTGATCTAAAATAAACTTTCAAATGGATAATTTTAATTTTCTAAAAAGAAAATAATGCATAAAATGAATGTTTTCTTGAGTGTTTAAATTCTAAAAAGATATTAAAAAGAATTAAATGGAAGATGCAGTATATTGCATATCCTTCCTTACAAGTTAAGTTAAGCTAACAAATCATAATAAAAAATACGTAATTTTTAAGTCGTTCAATTAAAGTAAATTATTTAATTTACAAATTTTGACGGGTCAAATTTATAAAATATAGCGAAACGAAACCCAAACTTTTTTATATATTTAATGAACATAACACATCAAAAATAGCAGGCGGCCAGTGGATAGACACAACTTTTAGTGGGGCCCACCCTTTATCAACTTGGACCCATCTTGGCAGAAGTGTCAAGCTTCATTATTATTATTTTAATAAATATTGATTTGATATTTTTTAGTGACAAGCCCTGAGCGAAGTCAAGGTCCCCATAAACGGGGGAATATTTCCAGTGAATATATTAAAGCTCAGATCAAGAACCTCCAAGTTGTTGAATGAAATCAAATCTACCAAATGAAGAATGTAGATAATTTAGTGATGTTTCTGGTAGAATAACCAAATAAAAAATTATCCTTACAATTAATAACTAGAAGGAAGATATTTGTGTAGCGTGCCATTCAGTCCGTATAGAATGCATACGTAGCCATTCTATAGTATGAAACCCAACCAATTTCTCATATTTTTCCCTCTTATAACCAAATGGTACAGAAATATTTATCAGAAATAAAATTTCAACTACACATACCATTGTTGGAAAGGGGCCATTTCATCCAATTGCGCTTCAGTGATAGAAATTTAAGAACTGGGAGATTAGCCAACCACTTTAGAATGTCTTTGTTGAAATTGTTGTAGCTTAGATCCAGGTGCTCTAGCTTGTTTAACTTTGACGAAGTTTGGTAATCTGGGTACGTAGAGAAGATGACATAATTAAAAATGATATTATGATTTAAGCTCATCTACCATCATATATATATATATATATATATTAAAATAAAAGAAAAAAGAAAAAAAAGAAGAAATCACAAGTATGTGACTTAAATTCTACATCCATTGTTGAAGATGGTCTAGAGATTTAATTGTTACCTCTACACTCAACTTAACAAGCTATCTTTTTTGATAAAGCTCTTATATACTCGAGTTCAATATACAAGAGAAATAATCATATTAATTGCAAATTAAAACAAATTCCGGACTTACAAACGGTCTTGCAACCAAGAAAACTCAGGTTTTATATTAAATTACGAACATAGAACAACTTTAGTTATAGTGATGGTGGTGGTGGTAATAATCTTCACCAGTTCCCTACATATTGAATTGCAAAAGAAAATTCTAAATATGTATCTAAGTAGCTTTTACCTTGCACTGGAAGGGAGACATTTAATCTGTTCCAGCTTAGATCCAACTTCTCTAATTTTCTCAGAGCTGATAGCTCTGTACAGTTAAATTAATTGAAACAGAAAGAGTAAAGACAATTGAATAGGAATAATATATACATATAAAGGTATTGAATGTTAGATGCTCAGTATAAATGATGTGAACAAAACATGCCTTTGACAGGAAGAGGTCCTTCCAACATATTCCAACTGACATTTAAAGTTTTCAGTGATGTGAGTGAACCCAAAGGTTCTAGGACACTGTTATTGAAGCCATTAAAAGCAAGGTTTAAGATCTCCAATTTCAACAACCTTTCAAAACCTGCAAATTAAGAGAGAATAATTACTTCAAATGAAATAAATTAACAAATAAATCTCCATGCTTCTGTATAATACTAGTACTATGTAATCACCTACCGTAGTAGCGATGTTTGGAAGCCCAAGTGAAATAACAAAAAAAACGGAAAACCTTACAGATTATTTGAAACAGTGGAAGGCTTTGATTTATGATTTAGAAGAAAAGAGAAAAAAATAATTACATAGTAAGGCTGATCATCAGATTATTGAGAGTGAGATCCACCACTCTACCTGTAGCAAGCAACTCTCTCCCAATCGCAGCATTCACTTTGTAATTATATTTTCTAATATGATTAACTTATAATTAAATTTTACAATTTATTATACTTAGTTTAAACTTTTTTTTACCGGAAAAATTCCCTTCCTTTTTATCCAATATTTATGAAATTTTAATAAAATACTTAAATAAAAAATAACTTTTTTATGCAATATATTCTTGAAAATAATAAGAAATTACTTAAATTGTTTTAAATTTTTTTATTTAAGATTTTTATTTAAATAATTAATACAAAAAATTAAAAGTAAATTTATGCAAATTTAAAAAAGAAAGAATATATGTCATCTATATAGTATGAGTTTTTTTTCATATAAATTAAATATAATTAAAAAAGAAATAACATTATGATTATTTAAAAAAAAAAATAGTCTAAACTTTAGCCAAGGAAATGTTTAGATTACCTTCATTTTCAACAGCGCCATCAAATCCATTCTCAGATAAATCAAGACTCAGCAGCTCTTCAAAAGGTTTAAATAAGGAGACATTTAAAGAAGGCCAATCATGGTAAGAAACGTAGTGGTAGTGTGGCCCTAGCTGCCTTAGATCATGGAGAGTGAGTCCCACCACTCTGCCTGTGGTGTGGTTGCAAGCGACTCTCTCCCAGTCACAGCAATCACTTTCTCTCTCATCAACCCACGAAGGAAGTACCAAATCATGCCTTATCTCATCATCAGTACTGTTCCGAATGAAAGAGGCCTTGAGTTGAAGCAACCCAGTCCTCTCCTCTTCAACACAACCTTCCACTCCATGGTTTTGATTTTCAACCAGTAAAACTATGAAAACCCATAACAACAACAACTTCACAACTTCTGCCCACCCCATTAATTGAGATATATAGAGTGAATATGAGATCAATATAAATAGTACAATTCAGTGACGACCTTCAAAGAGTATATATGATACTACATATATATATATATACTCTACAATGATCATCCACATTTATAATCCGTTTTTTAGACTTCTTTAGTCAAATATGTAGTTCTTAGTCCTTTGGCAGTCAATGCATTTATGGGTAGCCCCCACGCTAAGCATGACAATTGATTTTTTGTACATACTGTTGGAAAAACTAAATAGAATAGACTTCATAAAGGAGGTAGGTGAAAGCGAGGCAACGAAAAGTCTTGCCCTTTCACCAGAAACACTACTTTCATTCAGTGTATAATTGGGTTGGAACGATATTTATAAACTAATTATAAAATAAATTTAAACAATCATATTAATCATAGACTTCATAATATATTTACTTTGAGAAAAATTCAAAAATAAAACCTAAATAACTAAATGAAAAATTGAAAATATAAGGGGTAATGAAAAGGGAAAAAAAAAAATATTGTTATCAATTTTTCTCTGCACTTGTTTCAATTTTTCAAAAATTTAATTTTTGAATAAAATTTTTTGAATACTTTGATTCTACTTTTAGAGTTACAGTATTTTGTTTATAATATTAAAGGTGAAGACGCACTACTAAACACATAAAAGTGAAAAAAGGCTTGAGTTAAAGCATTCCAATCATTTTGAAGACAACCTTTGAGTATATTAATTGTAACACCAACCCATTCATTGCAGTGAATATGTGATCAATACAAGTGACCTTCAAAAGTATGACAATATACAGTACTCTAGTAGACTAATTTATATTTGTATAGTCTTTTAGTCTTCTATCAAGTCACGGCCACGCAACCAATTGACAAATGGGACATAGGCGTATGGAAAAAGGGACCAAAAGGAAAAGAAAAGACGAGAGGAAGGAAGAAGGCAAAGTGATGAAAAGTCCTTTCCGTGTACAATGGGACCAACTTTTTTTCACATCTGTGAATCAATCATCCACATTTATCTATTCAATTATTAGATAGTTTTGTATACGCATGTTTATTTTTTTTTTTTTTTTTTGCTGCTTTATTACTTTAAGTTTCAATTTAAAATATAAATGTTTTCAGAAAGATCCTAACTAACATCATGAACTCTTAGACTATAATTTTTATTTATTTATTTATTTTCTGTAAGGTGGTGATCTAAAATAAACTTTCAAATGGATAATTTTAATTTTTAAAAAAGAAAATAATGCATAAAATGAATGTTTTCTTGAGTGTTTAAATTCTAATAAATATTGATTTGATATTTTTTAGTGACACAGCCCTGAGCGAAGTCAAGTTCCCCATATGTGGTGGAATATTAATTGTAACACCAAGCCATTAATTGTATGACAATATAAAGTACCCTAGTAGACTAATTTATATTTATATAATCTTCCGTGTACAATGGGATGAAAAGTCCTTCCTTCTGTGTACAATGGGATCAACTTTTTTTCACATCTGTCAATCAATCATCCACATTTATAATCAGTTTTTAGACTTATTTAGTCATATATGTAGTTCTTAGTCCTTTCGCAACCAATGCATTTATGGGTCCACACTGTTGGAAAAGTTGCATAATTAATGTAGTAGACTTAAAAAAGGAGGGAGATGAATGTGAAGCAACCAAAAGTCTTTCCCTTCCACCAGAAATTAGATTCCGACTCAGTTTCATTACATTTTTAATCCATATTTTAACAGTTGAATTGATCTCATACATATATATATATATATATATATTTAACACAATTGATCTCATTAACATCCCATTGATATACAACCAGAGGAAAGAAAGTTTTATAAAAAATGTAGGAGGAAAGGAGAAAATAAATATTTTTACTTTTTACAGTGAATATGTATATGTGATCAATATATAATTAAGTTGACCTTCAAAAAAATATATATGATTATTTAGATTTATAATCAATTGTTAGACTTTTAGTCTTCTATATATTTTTTAATTCTTTTTCAATTATAGCCCCCACAACGACCGTAACAATTGACAAATTGATGATAGACGAATGGAAAATGATGAATAATAAAGACAAGAGGGAGGGGGAATGAAAGGGAAATAATAAAAAAGTATTTTCTTCCGTGAATAATTGGATTGGACGGATATTTATAAATCAATTATAAAATAAATTTGTTTATAATATTAATCATAGACTTCATAGTATATTTACTTTGAGAAAAATTAAAAAATGAGAAAAATAAAATCTAAATAAATAAACAAAAAATTGAAAATATAAGGGGGTGAAAAAAAGAAAATAAAAAAATCATTGTTATCAATTTTCCTTCTGTACTAGTTTCAATTTTTCAAAGATTTAATTTTTGAATAAAAGTTTGGAGTACTTTGATTCTACTTTTAGAGTTATTTTGTTTATAACGTTGAAGGTAAAGATGCACTAAACAAATAAAAGTGGAAAAGGCCATGAGTTGAAGCAAACATTGCATTCCATGGTTATGGTTTTGGTTTTGGTTTTGGTTTTGAACCAAAACTATGAAAACCCATAACAACTTCTTCCCAAGTACTGCCCACTCCATTAATTGAAATATATGGCGAAGATGAGAACAATACAAATAGTATTCCAGACTTTCAAAAAGTACACACGCGCGCACATACGCGCACACACACATATATATATATATATGATACTATATATAGTAATGCTCTCCCACATTTATGCTCTGTTTGATCGGATGCAAAATATTTTTTAATTTTTGGTGTTTGGTTGTTGTAAAATATTTACGAAGAAAAAAAAATATTAAAACTTAACAAAAATAACATACTTATTAATTTTCGGTAAGTTATTTTACATATTCTGTCCGATGGACTTGATCTCAATCTCGACTTACACATTTACCAAAGAACAAAAATAAAGAAAATATTTAACCTAAAAAAAAAAAATTATTTAAAAAAAAAAATATTTTACATTGAAATTCGACAAACAAAGTATAATCAATTACAAAGTATAATCAGTTTGTACACTTTTAATCATCTATATATCTACTTAGACTACTTGTTAGTCCTTTCGCAATTGTAGTCACACAGGATCATGACAATTTTTGAATTAGAGATTGAAAAAGAAGGCAGATAAGAAATGACTAATTAAAGATGGAACCAATGAAGGGAGAATGAACCCGAAGCAATGAGAAAAAGTCTTTCTTGGGGTGGGCTGATGGTTTGATTATTTAATTATTATTATTTTTAACTCGAAAAAAATTGGATATTTTGATTTGTGAGTAGAATATGTACAATGTAATAAAATTTGGAAAAAAAATTATAAAATAATAAGGATCCATATTAAGTTGACTACCTCAACTTCAAATGGTTATGTTTTGAATTCACTTTCTCTCTCATCAACTCATAAAGGAAGAGTCTCATAACTTAACCAAATGTGATCAATAAAAATAATACAATTCGGTGACCTTCAAAAGGCATACATGATCTTTATAATCCATTGTTACACTTTTAAGAGTATTTTTGGTTCGTATTTTATTTTTTATATTTTGTTTTAATTTGAAACAAAATATATATTTTGTTATAGAGTGTTTTGAATAATAATTCAAAACATATTTGGCAATGTCTATTTATTCTAAGATTTTTGGAAGCAAAAAAATAAAAATATGTTTAAAAAAAAATGTTTTAAAATGTAATTTAAGAGTTTTTCAAAAAAATGAAGAAAAAAAATTTATTTGTAAAAATACAAAATTGGTGTTTCAATTTTTGACCACTATTTATAAAACCTTTTAGCACTGTGCAAAACAAAAAAAAAAAATTTACATTTATACCAACTTAAAAATAATTTAGGCAAGAAGCAGGAGAGCAATCCAAGTACTGTTGGGTTTTGCTGAGTCTTTCTTCTTTGGCTCTCTGTTTGGTGTTTCTCTCTCTGTTTGTCATTTTAATGGCAACTAGTGCTCTTCAATTTCATTTTATTCTTTGGCTCTCTGTTTGGTGTCTCTCTCTCTCTCTCTCTCTGTTCGAGTCTCTTGAAAGATAAGCTTCAAATGACTGTAAACAACTTGTGTGTGACACAGCTTGGTGTATTTGTTTACGTGAGTGATTGATTTGCTGTAGGTTGTATACCGAGGTTGTAAAAATCGTCACTGTGAGTGTGAAGAGAAGGAAAGGGTGAGGAACCTAAAGTGTGTTTCTTTTCAATCATAGTGATTTTTTTTGAAGTCTAAAGGCTCTTTGGATGTTTCCTTGTTCCATGTCAATCAATATGTTTTTTTCTTCTGATTCATTACTAGTTGCGAAACAGAACTAAAATTTTGATTAAACCAATTCACCCCCTATTGGTCTCTTCAAATACTTGTGTATCTCCTAACCTTCAAATTGAAAAATGGAGAGGACTTTTGGATTAAAAAACATAATTATTTTGTTATTGTCATATAGTTCAAAACAAAAACAAAAAGCAATTCATCTAAGAACAAAATAGTTATTTTGGTATTAGAAGAGCTTCAACAAATATTTTGCCAAACAAATAAAATAGCTCTTACAAAGTAATTTTCAAACACTAATACACAAGTTAAATAGAAGTCATAATTTCTACTTATTTTATTTTATTTTAGTTGGCATCAGGAACTCTCCTACGCAGAGCCCCTTAGGGACCCGCCGTGGCCAACAAACGTGGGGGTGTAGGGCAGCCCCTATCATATACTGGGTGAGTCGACGAAACTAAAAGGCTTAGTAGGGGACTTGAACACTGGCCTTGTATATGTCAGGCCCAAGCCCGCACCATCACTGCTAGCCCGTCGGGGCGTCATAACTTCTACTTCTCTTTTTCTTTTGCGACAGAAACAAAAGCTATGACAAACGAGTACTGTTCCGAATGAACGATATTTATTAGTTTATAAATATCGTTCCAACCCAATTATACACTGAATGAAAGTAGTGTTTCTGGTGAAAGGGCAAGACTTTTCGTTGCCTCGCTTTCACCTACCTCCTTTATGAAGTCTATTCTATTTAGCTTTTCCAACAGTATGTACAAATTATCAATTGTCATGCTTAGCGTGGGGGCTACCCATAAATGCATTGACTGCCAAAGGACTAAGAACTACACATTTGACTAAAGAAG